CTGTTTGCCATGGACAACAAAACGGCAGCCTTTTGTCTCAATCATCAAGGATCAACAAGGTCTTGGCCCCTTCTACAACTGTCAGAAAAAATTTTCAGTATTTGTGGAACACAAACACTTTACCTCAAAGCAACTTATATACCGGGAGTACAAAACAATTGGGCAGATGCGCTGTCCCGTCTCCGGCCAGTATCGACAGAAACAGAATGGTCCCCAAAGGTATCAGAGTTCAAGAGTCTAGTGAAGAAGTTTGGAACTCCACAGATAAACCTGTTTGCCTCCCTAAAAAATCACAAGATGCCACTTTATGCATCTCTGGAGGGGTCAAATCTTTTCGGAAATGCCTTACTCTTTGGAATTCAATCTATCCGTTCCCACCTGTGAAAATATTGCCCAAAGTGGTTCACAAACTCAGATCCTTCCGAGGCAAGGTCCTCTTAATTGCACCATATTGGATCCTACAACCTTGGTGCCTGGATGTGCTGGACTGGTGCCCGAATCCGCTACAATTGCAACAAGGATGTCTAGACCAGGTATTACATTCTCAGTTCGAGATATCCTTGGCACTTCACGCTTGGGGTTTCTCAAAAAAACGTTTAAATAGGTTGTTGGGTAATCCCAATAGAGCTAACCAAGTACATTATTAGCTTTTGGAGATCTTCAAAAACTTTCAAAGACAGCTATCTTCATCTATCTCTGAAATATGCTTCAAATGTGGTGGTGCTTGGTTCCCCTCCCCCACCTACTCAATCTCCACAACCAGGACCTTCTTCCTTATCAGAATAAAGTGAGTATCCTTTTTGAGTAAATTAACATTTTACCTTCCGGTAAATGTTCCTAATTTTGGAAATATTCTAAAACGGTTTATAACATAATCTGGACCTAAGTCAGCGGAGCCTTGCATGCAAAGTCACCCCCCTCTCCACCTGCTGCTCGGGTATTCATGTTGTGCGTCGCATTCTGACTTGAACAAAAAAAATTTTTTTTCTAAAAACCAGTTTTTGTGATATAGCTCAGAATGCGGCGCCGATAACCCACCCGTCTCCATCCCTAGAGAGTTGACTTTTGTTTACAACTTGCTCTGGGCAAGAGATGACGGTAACAATGCGTGTGATGGAGGGTGCGGGAGGGGGTTTTGAGAATTGCAATTGGATGCCGGGTGGCGACGTGTCCTCCTAATATTACGTATTAGTAATTATTGGATGTTTTAATTGCCTGTATGTTGGCCTGGTGAGTTAGCTAGGAGTTAACATACCTAGGTAACATGCTGTGCGTCGCATTCTGAGCTATATCACAAAAACTGTTTTTTAGAAAAAAACGGCTTTTTTTATGTTTTCATAGTAAAGACCATTATTTATTTTACTGGACTTTGTTTCCCTTTGCAATTTTTTTTAAAGACTTTTGCATTTTTTCATAAAATTGGTTTTTAAATACGGCTTATCATATGTCCCAACGGGTGCAAGAAACTGTATTAATAGAGACTGAATGTGAAAAGGACCTGGGTGTGTATGCTGACAATGAACTGAAGTTCTCGGGCCATTGTGATTAGGTGAATCAAGCAACTAAGTTATTAGGTCTTATAAGAAGGTCGTTCAAATATCTCGACGGTCCTTACCTTGTAACGATCTTCAAGAGTGAGAAGCTTCCCCATTTTTTGTACTGTCACCCCGTCAAGTCCCCAAGGTATGCTAGGGACCAGACTGGTGCTTGCACTTTGGCACCTCGGCTATCCAGAGAGATAAGAGTGCCTGCAACTGCCCACTCCACAAAGCGGTCACAGCTCAAGGTTGCAGAAACTGCAAGTCCGGAAAACTGTGAGGGCGAACTTTTTCGGAGTGAGAGTTATGAACGCTTGGAACAATCGACCAGTGTGTGTTGTGATGGCAACGAGTGAGAGCTGTTTCAAGACCAGACTTGACCAACACTGGAGCAGGTTCAGATATATTCAGGAGCCAGAGCATGCCCATTACTTCCCAACAGTGCGTAAGAGATGTGACCGACTGCCCAAAAGGTTAACGAGCCAATCAGTGGCGAAGAGGATAAAAGTAGAAAATAAAAGTTGAAAATGTATTTTTTGGCATGCTTTCATAGAAAAGTAACTATTATTATTATTTTTTTTTTTTTTTAGTAGAGTTTGCTTCTTTTCTGGGATACATTTTAACTGTTTTATTTGTGCATGTTTTAATAAAAATAATAAGATTTGCTCTTTACTCCCCGAAATATTTTTTATTAAAAAAGGCTTTGTTTTGCATGTTTTCAAAGAAATTTGTTGTTAAAAAACAATATATTGGTTAAAATTGCTTCTTTTCTGAGAAATGTGTAGTGGATTCCTCCCCTACAAACGCTTGTCCCTGATCAGCCGACCCCGCGAATTCCCCAGTGTATGCCTCGTGGTCTAGGTCAACCAGCGCCGCCTTACATGACGGAGGTCAACTATTAAGCCACGCCTACCTCCGCTATATAAGACCTGACCTCGTGGTGACCTACCCTTCTTCTAGCTACAGCCGCAGCAAGTAACACCACCTCCTCCACCGCTGCCTGGCGGCCCTTGCTCCCGCCGGCGAGCATGGCGACCCACAAGCTGGTCCTACTCTGAGCACCCTCACCAACCAGCTCTCTCTACTCAACGCTTGTAACCACGCTGCCACTTCCCAGCACCAAGATGCACTGTACATCCAATACAATATGTATACAGAGAGCACATTGAGTTTCCCTTCTCCATCCCATCCTGAGTGTGAACCAACAACCCGTACCCCACAAATGCTTGTTTTACACTCCAGGGGTATATTCCCGATTCTGAAATAATCCTTCATGGCAAACGTTTTCAAAGGAATTCCTTTTTAACAAATACAATTACCTCGAGCATGGTGCTCTTTCACTTATTTAATTTCCTTTCAAAATGGTGGATAAATTCATTCAAGAGAGATTTTCCTGCCATTGACTTGGAAGAATGTCCTTAACTGATAACATTCAAATTATGCTTAATTACATATACCACTGCCAATAACACCCAATCTTTCATATATTTTATTTTTCCACCGAGATGTATTTTACGTTAGTTAGTGATAATTACCTGATGCCAGCTGATGCTTAAAACCACATTGGGATCCCCCCCACCCCCTCACATCTTTCTAACCACGGCAAAGACCAAGCACCAGCCCAGAAAATGCAGGAGACCAGGGGATGAGCACAGCTCTGGCTACCCTGTTACCATCAAGTGCGTCGAAGAAAAGTTTTATGGCTAGATGCATTTCCTAATGCCAACTCACAGGGTAAGAACAGCTGGTAAAGCAAGGTATATTCTGAAGAAAAAATATGGAACTTATTCTGGTACAGGTTGTACCTCCCTAGCATTCTGTGGTCCGGAAACTCCCGTGGTCCGGAACGATTTTAGTTTGTCCAATAGATAGATAGGCAGCTTTTTTTCTTTTTTTTTTGTTACTTATCTGAATTATTATTATTATTACAGGAGTATTAAATTTTTGCCCCTCAGGCCCCAATGTGGGTCAGTGACCTATGCCCGGGTGGGCTAATCCCCTTAAAAAAAAATTTAAAAAAAACGCGGAAAATTAAGGTTTGTTTACATCCAGCAGTTCGGCTGCTCTCTCTCTCTCTCTGCTTGTCTATACAGAGTACAACAATTAACCCTTCAATATATATGAGCAGTAAATAAGTGTTGCTTTCATATTCTTATGTAGAGTAATGACGATATGTTTTCACATGTGCGCACTTACATACGCTCAGTCTCACTTTTTTTTTTTACCATTAATGGTTAGCTACTTATATTGTTCCATTTATTAACATTAAATAACATTACAGGTACTTCAAACAACCATATTAATTTTTTCACATTAATTTTACTACAGCTAAAATCAGGGTCTTATTTTCTTCAGTTTTATATGTAGAACCAATCAGTCACTGGTTATGTAAGCTTTAACATAAACAATGCCGGCAGCCGTCTCGTCTCCTCTAATATTCCACATATTATTAATAAAATGTATTGTTAATTTTGCACACACAAACATTAATTCAATAAAAACAAATTCAGAAACATTAATTAAATTATATATGAACAGTAAATAAGTGTTGCTTTCATATTCTTATGTAAAGTAATGACGATATGTTTTCATGTGTGCGCATGCGCACTTACATACGCGATCTCTCTTTTTTCTTTACCATTATCGTTAGCTACTTCTATTGTTCCATTTATTAACATTAAATAACATTACTTAAAACAACCATATTAATTTTACTACAGCTACAGCCAAGGTCTTATTTTCTTCAGTTATATATGTAGAACCAGTCAGTCACTGGTTTTGTAATCAACGAAAACAATGCTGTGTCATTTCCTCGTGTGTTTTAATATTCTACGTATTATTAATGAATTGTATTGCTCATATTGCACACATAAACATTAATTCAATAAAAAAAGACATTCAGTAATAAACAATAATGAATCTTTTGTACATAAGAGAAATGACGCTGTTTACACGATTATGCACGTCGTCTGCACGTTCGCGGGCCGTTCAAATCCGTCGAAATTCAAGTTTCCGCCGTCAAAATTGTTATTTATTTATTTTTTTGTGTGTTCCAATAAAATATGTTAAGAATTAAAAACTCGCGAAATTTGAGAAGCTACTATACGACATTTAACCCTTCAATATGTCTTCAAAGAGACCATGATGCAGAGAAAGTGGTGCTAGTGCTTCCAAGCATAAGCACAAGTCACTATCTATCCAGGAAAAGGGTGAATTTCCATGGTCTGGCACCGGTCAGGTCCCGAGGTTGCCGGACTAGAGAGGTACAACCTGTACTGTATGTGTTAATGGCTAAGGCAAATGAACAAATCTAACCCACTCTTACTGTACTGTTTAACTGATAACATAAGTAGTGTAGTCTGAATGACTTCCACATTCCCATTTCAACAGCTACAGCATGTTCGTTAACACTAATATATCAGCCTCTTATAATGAAGGGTAAATGAAACAATAAGAAAAAAATAGTATCCACCTTTTTAATAACTGGAATAGTGTGGAATGCTTTACATACATTTATCTATTTTTGATGGAATAAAGTAGAATCCTGGAATTATCTTTGCTCCACATGGGCAGTCACAACCTGCAAATACAGTATTTCATTATATTAATGTCATTACTAATATAAATTTTTTTTCACAAGCTCACTATTACTAAATCAGTACAGTACTGTACAGTATAGTCTGCAGTTACGCGGTCAATTGAACCTGTGGAGGTCCGCATAAAATGAGAAACGCGTAAATGAAATAACAGAACATATGGGATTAATAGAAATAGAGACTGGGCCAACCCCCAAACTCCACTTTTTCTGACACAATATGTACGTTGTAATAAAAATAGTATCTTAATTTTATGATGGTATGCACACACAATTAATATTTAAGAGAAATATCAATAATATTAGGTTTTTTAACACTTACGTTAGTAGAAAAGATGGCTGGGCACATGGGGATGGGGGGGGGGGGTTGGTTCCGAGGCAGAGGGCAGATTATATATTGGCCCTCACTGGTATCACTTGTATCAATTGTATCACTATCCACCACAGAGGCATGCAGGGCCTCTTTGTCAAACCCCTCAAAGTCCATATCCTCACTATCACTGACTTGGGCCGGCTGTGGTGGGTGGCAGGTGAAGAACTCGGTAATGTTTTGATGACTGGGCGACCTTGTGCGCACCCTGCCCATGCCGCTTCCCACGTATGGTCAAGCATGGACCGCGTGAATACAAAATGCGCGGCGCGTCTGGACCTCTCCAGCCGCTCGCACCGTAAATGATGAAATTTTCCGCATAATTCAAACATTTCATTCTGGCAGGGCACCGCGTAATTGACCAAACGCGTGAATAAAATCCGTGTAAATCGAGACTACAGTAGGCCCTTAACATACGCGGGTTTATAATACACGGATTTGCAAATACGCGGATTGCCCCGCCGGAGGAATATTCTGTACATTGAAGTAATTGAAGTACATTCAAATCGCGCGCCATTCAACTCGCGCGAGGCACCGAACACGGGACACCGCCCGCTCCCGCAACCTCACACACACACACACGCATAGCTCTCCCTCACTCAGTCAGTCTCGCTGTAACCACGCTTGAGTTGACATCACCATTGTAGTTGCAAAAATATTACATTTCTGTGAATGTATTATATCAAGCACAGTATGAATAGAATATCACTAATATAAGAGTATTTCAACCGAAAACTACTAAAAAAAACGAGTAACATATCTTGAACATCGGAAGGTTAGGTAAAGTCTTTTGTTTTCATGTAGTTTATCCTAATTTACATTGAAATGCATTACGTTTCAGCAAAACTACTATTTATTTCTGAGAATATGGAAATGTAACATTTTGCTGAAATGACGTACGTATTACAGTGGAAGGTGACGAAAGCAATGACTCGCTTTCTTTCATTCAAAAGATGTTACCGTAATCGCTTTTCGAATGGTTTTCAGTTAAAAAACTGTTGTATGACAATAATATTCTATCCTAATTCACTTGTGATGCAACAGTTTTTTTAACTGAAAACCAATCGAAAAGCGATTACGGAAACATCTTTTGAACGAAAGAAAGCAAAAGTCATTGTTTTCGTCACGATTTTATCCCACTTTCCACTATAATACGTACGTCATTTCAGCAAAAATATTACATTTCCTTGAATGTAGTATATCAAGCACAGTATGAATATAATATCATTGTAATACTGTATAACAGTATTTTAACAGAAAACTATTAAAAAAACGAATAACATCTCTTGAACATTGGAAGGTTATGTAAAGTCTTTTGTTTTCGTCATGCATTTTATCCTATTTTACATTGAAATACATCACGTTTCAGCAAAACTACTATTTATTTCTGAGAATATATTCATTCAGGCACAGTTTGGGTAAAATATACATGTGCTGTAACATTTTTTAATAGAAAACGATTCGAAAAACACGTACCCTCTAGCCCTGTTCAAGGAGAAGACTGGGAGGAGCTGTTTGGTGCTTAAGACGATGACAAGGAAAATGATTTTGATGGATTTAAATGAAAATATTCAGAAAGACCCTGGCACTGTCAAGGAAAGTGGCTGCTGAAGGCTTCCAGGACATGGCAAAGGACGAGATTAGGGAGCTAATTGAAGAGCACGACACTGAGCTGACCGAGGAGGATCTACAGGAGTTAGTAGACTCAGACAAGGAAGAGGAAGCGAAAGGGAAAGAGGATGAGGAAGAGCACCAAGAAATAACGTTGGAGAAGTTGGGGGAGATGACCAGGAATATTGAGGCACTGAAAAACCTGGCCTATAGTATGGACCCCTCCATGGTGCGTGCCCTGAAATTCATGAGAGGGATGGATGACGTTTTCGCTCCATACAAAAACATTATGGAAGAAATGAATGAAAGAGACGACAACTCCCCATCACCATGTTCTTTGATCACCGAAGGAGAGATTTAACACCATCAATCACTGGCGGCAGCGAGGAAGCAGCTGAATCCACCATCGCCCCCACTTCACCACCCATTATGGAATTGAGTGACGATGAGCCCGAGGACCCCCGTCCTGTCGCCGAGGATAGGAACTGTACAGTAAAGTGAAATTTTTATCTCTTTTTTTTTATTAGCTTTTCTTGCCATGATTATTGTTTGTAAAAATGTACAGCACAGTACAGTTCAGTACTGTACATGGGAAGTGGAGGTGCAGTTATTCACAAAACATTTGTGTTTGTTGTCGGCAGTAGTGACGGGGAGGAGGCGGAGGGAGCGAGTAGTGACCTTGGATGCGGGAGCAGGGACGAGATGCCAGCCAGTACATTACGGGTGTATTAATTGTTTTTATAGCTATTTTTGCATTTTAATATTAAATACTGTACATTACGTTCAACAAAACTACCATTTATTTCTGAGAACATAGAAATGTAATATTTTTGCTGAAATGATGTACATATTACAGTGGAAAGTGGGATAAAATTGTGACGAAAGCAAATGACTTTCTCTTTCTTTCGTTCAAAAGATGTTACCGTAATCGCTTTTCGAATGGTTTTCAGTTGTGGGATTATAAGGCTAATGATAGGATAGATTATTATTGTAATACAGTAAGAGTACAACAGTTTTTTAACTGAAAACCATTCGAAAAGCGATTACGGTAAAATCTTTTGAATAACGAAAGAAAGTGAAAGTCATTTGCTTTCGTCACAATTTTATCCCACTTTCCACTGTAATACGTACATCATTCCAGCAAAAATATTACATTTCTATATTTATTTCTGAGAATACGTATATTCATTCAGTCACAGTTAAGGTAAAATATACTTGTGATGTAATATTTTAATGAAAATACGGTATCGTAGTTTTCTTTTGTTTCAAATTTAATTAACAAAGATTGATGTTTCAAATGTAATGAACAAAAATTTATGTCCAGTATCTATAAATAAACTTTAATAAATGAATACTTTATGTTTTACATCGTCCTGTGCATACCATACCATGGATTTGGCTACTTTGGGCTTGCTATGATGACGCAAGAGATCTGCCCTGACAACTGTACCGACACTCACAGCTGGTGGTGCGTTGGTGCATCGTTTCCATCGTTTACTGGTAGTTACTGGTAAATATTTTTCAACCCTAACGAAACCATTACCCGTTTAGAGGTCGACCTCCAATTTTTTGCCAAATAATTTGGTCTTAAAAACTCGAACTACACACAGGTATATATGGTAAATAAAGACATGGGGGCCAGGGGTTTTTTTTGGGCAGCACATATACGCGGATTTTTAACATCCACGGCTATCTCTGTTACGTAACCCCCGTGTATGTTAAGGGCCGACTGTATACTGTACTTGTACTAATATTTCTGAATGATGTCTCTTACTCTGATACTGATTTCTGTCAAAATAATTGTCACAATTTATGAATCTCAATGAACACTTGCTTTACAAAATTCCATTCAGGCTCTAACTATCACTTCCGTAAATATTATTACAGTACAATGGTCCTTCGGTTATCGAATGCCTCGGTTAACGAAATTTTGGTTAATGAATTACTGTACCTTCCATAAAAATCTTCAATTCGGTTAATGAACAAAAATTTGATTAACGAAATCCTTACGAAAATCACATTTTGTTGTGAGCATCAGCTAATCAGCTGATGACCCAGCCTGCCAATTCAGTAATCTGTTTATGTTTACATTCGTTTCCAATGGAGTAAATATCAAGAAAGTTAAGCTCTAAAATATATTTGCATGTTTTATATTAAAATTATTAGTCATTTTAACATTTATTTAACATACTGTAGTGATAATAAATGCAGTACAGGGAACTAATTACAAACATATGTTTACATTGGTTTCCAGTTGAGTAAATACCAAGAAAGTTAAGCTCTTAAATATTTTTGCATTTTTTATATTAACATTATTAGTCATTTTAACATTTATTTAACATATTGATAATATTTGCCAGATGCGTGATTCGCTCACAAGGCGTCAGCTGAGACTTTGAAACGGTGGAGAGAGCATCTATTGTGATGGTGTCTTGAATATTTTTGCATTTTTCATTGAAATTATTGGTCATTCTGAACTTTAGTTAACATATTGATAATATACAGTGCAGTGCAGTGTTGATTTAAAGAAAATAATCTTGAATTACACCAAATAAACTTAAAATTTTATTGGTGAAATGACGGCATCAAGCATGGGTCCCTGAGAGGCGATTTCTCCTCCATCCCCATGTCCTTCTCTTCTCCCTTCTCCTCCACCCCACTTCTAATTCCCATCATCATCATCAACTAGGAGCCTTCTACATATACACCTCAAAGTAAGTGTACTTTACTGCATCTATTTTTTTACTTTGTATGTACTTTTCAGTGAGCTGGAACCAATTACCCAATATCCCATTGAAACAATGGATTCGGTTTACGAAGTTTTCGGTGAAGACGAGTCCGGGAGGGCAACAAACAACGTCATTCACTAAGTGACTTGACAGCAGAGGATATTAGTCACTAACGATCTACCGACTTCAAAATAGAAGACGCACTGTGGTCGCCATGCTGACCAAACCATATAAGAAATTGTCCCAAACACAATATCTGAGAGACATACCGTAAA